TTGGTCCTTCATCTCTTCCATTGTGATTAATCTTCCAGTCCTGAGTCCTACGTTTATCAATCTCTTATTTGGACTTCCATCTCTTCCTTTGTCATTAATCTCCATATCCTGAGTCCTATGTTTATTGGTGTTGTGTATTTAGATCTTCTTTCAAGATCAACATTTTGTCTTGGAGGTGTTGTAGGCCTATATTCATAACTTTGTTAATGCTGTCCTTATTCACTTTTTCATTCAGTTCTTTGGTCTACCATCTCCTCTTCTCCTCTGTTGTCATTAAACTCCAAGTCCTGAGTCCTAAGTTTATCAATCTCTTCTTTGGTCTTCCATCTCTTCTGTTGTCATTAAACTCCAAGTCCCGAGTCCTAAGTTTATCAGTCTCTTCTTTGGTCAAACATCTCTTCTGTTTTTATTAAACTCCAAGTCCTGAGTCCTAAGTTTATCAATCTCTTCTTTGGTCAACCATCTCCTCTGTTGTCATTAAACTCCAAGTCCTGAGTCCTATGTTTATCAATCTCTTCTTTGGTCTTCCATCTCTTCTGTTGTCATTAAACTCCAAGTCCCGAGCCCTAAGTTTATCAATCTATTCTTTGGTCTTCCGTCTATTCCATTGTCATTAATCTCCAAAGAGTCCTACCTATATATTTTTGAAGCTTTTATCTCACTATCTCACTGTCCTACTGATGAGCTTCTTTATCTCAGTGAATGTTTTCCAACTTCTTTGAGATCTAGAAATGTTTGATGATTTTCTATTGATGTTGATACTGTCTGATTGCTGTTGTTCATGTGGGGTGTTTTTTCGTAGTAAATCTGAATTGCTGGTTAGTTTTAAACATGTTTCACCACCCAGCCAAGTGTTTTTTTCAGCAGGTGGAGGGGGATGCCTTGGTATTTAAATCCCTATAGGTAGTCAAGTTACTGCAATCTAAATACCATAATACCATGTTGATTAGACAGGTGCTATCTGAGATACATTACTAAATGTGGCCTGTTGCTAAAATATATTTTTTTATGTTTTAGTTTAGATAGATTAGTGAATGCTTAAACCTCATGCCAGGTTTCTTGTGTCTGTGTCACATTGCGGAGATTCCCCTAACTTCCTGTACTATCACTTCCTTTTTCAAAAGACAATGGTCAAAGAGAGGGGGTGATTTCCCCCAGTGAGTATAAAGACAGCATTAAAAATCTGACTGGGGTTCTAAGCTCCCATATGCTGTCTAGGACTAAAGAAAAAGATTTGGCTATACATATACTTTAAGCATGATTCTTAGTGTGGTAGGTGTCAGTTGGAGTTACATTACTGGAGCTACAGAATTTCTAGGATGAAGGTATCAGGGCAGCATTGCTAATTACCATTGTTAATTACTAATAGGTACTATTCTTTATAGAGAAGGTTGTTCCAGCTTGACCTAAATTACTTTCACATCACTTTCAAGGCATCTGTTTTCTCTGTCCACAATCTTTACTCTATTAAAAATGTATCCCAGGGAAGCCATATTCGGATATGTGAGACGCCTGTTTGCATTTATGTTTACAGCTGCCAGAATATCCATTGCACACTCCTGGAAGTCCCCCATGGTCTCCTTTGACCTTCTAAAAGCCAAGCTGACCTGGATAATGGTCAATTATTATTATTATTATACAGGACTTATATAGTGCCAACAGTTTGCTCATCGCTTTACATTATGGAGGGAGACAGTACAGTAACAATACAGTTCAATACAAGAGGGATTAGAGGGCCTTGCTCCTTGGAGCTTACAATCTAGGAGGGAGGGGATAGTGGTACAAGAGGTAATTAGCTGTGGGGGATGGAGTGGTAGGAAGAGTAGAGGATTCCAATATTAGCTGGGGTCCGGGTAGGCTTCCCTGAAGAGAGAGGTTTTCAGAGATCGCCTAAAAGTGAGCAGAGTAGGCGATAGCCTGATAGATTGGGGTACGGAGTTCTAGAGGATGGGTGAAGCCCTTGAGAAATCCTGGAGACAGCATGGGAGGAGGAGACAAGGGAGCTAGAGAGTAGGAGGTCTTGCGAGGAGCGGAGAGTACAGTTTGGGTGGTATTTAGAGACAAGGACGGTGATGTAATTGAACGTTTGACCGCTATTCTTCATGATAAGATGGCCTACTTTGAAAAAACCTGGGATCCTTGGATAAAATATTTTTTAGCACCGTCCTAGGCTGGAAGGTGGACAATATGGGGAATATATAAACAGAACACATCTTATACCCCGCGCCTGGCTGCCCACCGGTTCCTCCTACTCCATGCGCCTTTTCTTTCTTCTTTCTCTCTCTCTATTCTTCTTTTATCTCTCTTTTCACTTTTCCCTTCCTCTCTCTTTTCTTCATTTCTTTCCCTTCATGTTTCTTTCCCTGGTATTGGATATAGCTTACTAAAGGCCATGGGGGGGGGGGGGTTCCCCCTTTTGGCCTGATGAACATTGGAGGGTGGTGACGCTCCATACAGGTTGTGGTAGCCTTTGACGCCAGGCCTGACAAAAAGTTTTCTTTTAGTTTTAGTTTTCTCTCTTACCTTATTGTTGCGGCCATACATCTATAAGTCCCCATGAGACCCTTCTGGCTATCGTTGACTGACAATTGTCCTGGAATATTGTATATCATGCATTGCTTGTACCAGCCCAGATGGGTTGCAGTTTGTAGAAAATGGATGTATATTTTTTGGACTGGCTTGTAACTCCTTCTTTTCTAGATAAAACGAATAAACATTATTGAAATTAAAAAAATGTATCCCTTGGCCTTCAGCTATAGGTAGACAATTGAGCCCTGACCAGATGAGTTAGCCTTGCCATGTTGGGTCATGTATTTCTTGATAGGCTCAAATGCCTGGAAAATTCATTCATTAAAATGGAAGAAGGAACATGCTTGGATGAGTCCAACAAAGTGATGAGGTTCTTGGGTGGGCAGTCCCTCCCAAACCCAAAGGTCCAAAAAATCCAGCAAATAATCTAAGCTACCAATGTCTGCCTAAAACCAAGTTGCCAAGCGTCTATAAAATATAGGCAGATTTTTTGTGCTATTTTTACTGTAACAGACCCTATCAGTTTGACAATTGAGGACAAAGTGTCGGCGTCACATACTAGCCCACCATCAAACCACTTATTCTAACCATTGCTACATTCCCCCACTCCTTGGTCACTCTGTCAGATTTGTTGCAAATAACCAGTGTTTTGGGGTATGGCAGAGCACATGACTGCAGTACTTGGGCCTGAGAGGTCAGTCACCCCAAATGCTGCATATGAAAGAGAGGCTGACATCTCTATCTCTGTGTAAGGTCCATCACCATCCAACACTTACACAGGGATGGAACTCAGAGGAATAATGTGGTGGGGGAGCTTAGCCAAGGTGAGTAATGGACAGATCGTGGTCTTGTCAGATCTTCTATTACTTTGCCCATTCACAACAGTCTCTTTAGTACAGGGGTCGGCCACATGTGGCTCCATCATACCTTGCTGCAGCTCCCTGTTGCTGCAGATATACACCACATCCGCCAATGTGCGACACCCCGCCAGACACACAGCTGGACACCAAACCAGACACCCGCCCGCACATCCGGCCTACATTCCGGCCGGACACCCTGCCGGACAACCCGCCGGACACCCCGCCGAACACCCACCCAGACATCCAGTCGGACACCCTGCCGGACACCAAGCCACACATCCAGCCAGACACCCTGCCAAACACCCGCTCAGACATCCGGCCAGACACCCCACCAGACACCCCACTGGGTACCCTGCCGGACACTCCACCGGACACCCCACCAGACACCTGCCCACACATCCAGCCAGACACCCCGCAGGACACCCGCCCACTCATCTGGCCAGACACCCGGCCAGACACCTGCCCAGCCATCCGGCCGAACACCCTGCTGAACACCCACCCAGACATCCGGCCGGACACCTGCCTATACATCTGGCCAGACACCCGCCCGCACATCTGGCCAGACACCCCGCTGGACACCTGCCCACACATTCGGCCGCACACCCTACCGGACACCCTGCGGACACCCGCCCACACATCCGGCCAGACGCCCTGCCGGACACCCGCCCACACATGCAGCTGGACACCCCGCCGGACACCCGTAAGGCTAATCTGAGCAAAAATTATTTCAAGAAGTGGATGAAGTCTGCAAATTCAACTACATATGCTAGTTTTGTGGCCGCTCAGGAAATAGTCATACACGGGAAGCCGTTCACAGATGGAGATTATATAAAAGAATAATTCATTAAGATTTCAGAACATCTATTCTCGGACTTCAAAAACAAGAGTGAAATTGTGCAGAAAATCAGAGATATGCCCCTCTCTGCAAAGACTGTCAAAGACAGAACCATAAAAATGGCAGAAAACATCACTAGACAGCAAACTAAAGACATCAAGTCAGCTCTGGCATACTCAATCGCCTCTGATGAGTCCAAAGACAAAAGTGATATTGAACAAAGGAAAAAAACGATATATGCAGTGTTATCTTCATTTTAGATGTCATAAGGGTTTTCTGGCTACCAGTGTTTTTTTTTGTGGGAACCGGGTCCAAATGGATCTTTGAGTGCTCAAAGTTGGTTGCTGACCCCTGCTTCAGTACAATCTTTCTGCAAGTGGAATCGACCATTAGGTCGTAATTGGAGCGGTTTTTTGACAATAGAAAGTTGTGATTTGAGCCTTGCACGCAATCTACATAGAACTAAATATGAATTCATTCAGTGGCTGGTTAATTTGAAATGTTTCTTTGATCTTATGTATTGCAGCCTGATTTTTATACAACAGAGCATTTTCCGCTAACTGGCCGTGAAGTAAAGTGGAGTGGATGTATTTTGAAGGATCTGAGAAAAGACATTATAATGAATGATCAACCACCCTTCACATCGCCGAGTAAGAAGAGAAGAGCGTAAAGTATTGAGGATCCACCTAGATACACACATCCTCTGATATAAAGACATAGAAACAATAGAGGAGTGGGAGTATATTGAAGGACACAAAGATCTCTACAAGCACGTCATGATGGAGAACAGGCCGCCCCTCACATCTCCGGGTAAGAGGAGACTTTCATTTCTTGTATCCACCTAGATACACACATCCTCTGATATAAGGACATAGTATGTAAGGTGTCAGGATGTCACTGTCTACTTCTCCATGGAGGAGTGGGAGTATATAGAAGGACACAAGGATCTCCACAAGGATGTCATGATGGAGAACCAGCTGTTCCTCACTTCACCAGTTAAGAGGAGACTTTCATTTCTTGTATTGAGGATCCACCTAGATACATACATCCTCTGATATAAAGACATAGAAACAATAGAGGAGTGGGAGTATATAGAAGGACACAAGGATCTCCACAAGGACGTCATGATGGAGAACCGTCCAGCCCTCACATCACCGGGTAGGAGGAGACTTTCATTTCTTGTATCCACCTAGATACACACATCCTCTGATATAAGGACATAGTATGTAAGGTGTCAGGATGTCACTGTCTACTTCTCCATGGAGGAGTGGGAGTATATAGAAGGACACAAGGATTTCCACAAGGATGTCATGATGGAGAACCAGCTGTTCCTCACTTCACCAGTTAAGAGGAGACTTTCATTTCTTGTATTGAGGATCCACCTAGATACACACATCCTCAGATATAAAGACATAGAAACAATAGAGGAGTGGGAGTATATAGAAGGACACAAGGATCTCCACAAGGACGTCATGATGGAGAACCGTCCAGCCCTCACATCACCGGGTAGGAGGAGACTTTCATTTCTTGTATCCACCTAGATACACACATCCTCTGATATAAGGACATAGTATGTAAGGTGTCAGGATGTCACTGTCTACTTCTCCATGGAGGAGTGGGAGTATATAGAAGGACACAAGGATTTCCACAAGGACGTCATGATGGAGAACCAGCCATTCCTCACTTCACCGGATAAGAGGAGACTTTCATTTCTTGTATTGAGGACCCACCTAGATACACACATCCTCTGATATAAGGACATAGTGGGTTTATTTACTAAAGCTGGAGAGTCCAAAATCAGACTCCCTTCTGCATAGAAACCAATCAGCTTCTAACCTCAGCTTGTTCAATGAAGCTTTGGCAATGAAACTTGGAAGCTGATTGGTTTCTATTCAGAAGGGAGTCTGATTTTGGACTCTCCAGCTTTAGTAAATAAACCCCAGTATGTCAGGTGTCAGGATGTCACTGTCTACTTCTCCATGGAGAAGTGGTAGTATATAGAAGGACACAAGTATCTGTAGAAGGACGTCATGATGGAGAACCGGCCGCCCCTCACATCATCGGGTAAGAGGAAACTTTCACTTCTTGTATTGAGGATCCACCTAGACACACACATCCTCTTATATAAAGACAAAGAAACAATGTATCCAGTCATTGTGTGTGTTTCCTACAGATGGATCCAGTAACAGAAATCCCCCAGAGAGACGATCCCGTCCTCTGTATTCCAGGAACTATAGGGAGCATGATGACAACATCTCTCACTGCAATAAGGTAGATGAAACTCAGGGTCTTATAAAACAGTGGATCTACACTATACAAGCACCAGGGGAGGTTATTGGATTTAATAAAGTGACACATTAAAGCATATATTTGTATGTTTTTGTTATTCAGGGCACAAATCAGATTCAAGCTGAAGTGAAAGAAGAAATAGGTGAACTGTATGTGAAGGGTGATGAGCCATATAAGGAGGAGGAATTTTCTCCAGAGATCATCACAGGTGAGTAATAAATATTAAATCCAGAAAAGACTCCCAGATTCTCCTTGTTCAGTCCCTATAACAATCTCTGTCAGTAGACAATAATGGGGAGACAGTATCTTTGAACAAGTCATAGCAGTGATTTCTCTCTCTGCATGGCTCTGTCCGCTGTTTTAATTAGAGACAACATGCCTGAAAGGATACACACACTGCTATTGTCAGGACCTGGATCACCTGCTGGTGGCACTATGTTCCCAGAGCAGAGAATTGCACTTCTGGTGTCCACCAGCGGGTGTCTCTCCCAGCAGATCCCAGTAATCAGTCTCCACCTGATGCTGGCTGCTGGGTGGGTGTTTAGTCCTTCCTCTGCTAGTGCCTCTCTCTTCAGTAGTTTGCTCTGCTAGCAAGATACTGCTAGCCTATTATTTTTGACCCTGTGCTTGATCCTGATTTTGTACCTCCTTGTACCTATATCCTTTACCCTGCTTCTTGTACCTTCCTTGTACTTACTCCCCACTGTTCCTTATCCCACTCTTGGTTCCTCCTTCTGACTGTTTTATACACCTCCAAATTTACCCAGCTGATCTGTGTTCCCCATTTTGTATATATTGTATATAGTTAATTTGCTAGTTAGGCTTTATATTACTTTGGTTGCTAATTAGGCATTTTGTCCTTTGGTTTTGGTTCTCTTATATCTTCATGTTTGCTGTATATTCTGTTAGCTGGTGTTTGGATGGATTTTGGTTTTACTGTAGATAAGTCTTCCTCCTTTTCTTTTTTTAGTGACACTAGGTAATATTTATATAAGTAAGATATAACCATAGTAAAATAGTAACAACATACAATCTTATCCTTCAACAATTCTATGACACATAATTAAACCGTTATCAGATGAAGTAATGTTTACTAAATCAAGGGCCTTTTTTCCTACAATTATAGAAAATCAAAAGGGAAGGAAGGAAGGAAAAGAGAAAGAAGGGAAAGAGAAGGAAGAAGGGAAAGGCAGGAAGAAGGGAAAGGAAGGAAGAAGGGGAAAGGCAGGAAGAAGAGAAAGAGAGAAAGGAAGGAAGGAAGGGAAAGAGAAAGAAGAAGGGAAAGGAAGGAAGAAGGGAAAGTCAGGAAGAAGGGAAAGGAAAGGAAGGAAGAAGGGAAAGGCAGGAAGAAGGGAAAGGCAGGAAGAAGGGAAAGAAAGGAAGGAAAGGAAAGAAAAGAAGGGAAAGGAAGGAAGAAAGATAGATAGCATTCGACAGGGAGGAGGGGGGTTTCGAACCAAAGATATCCATATTTGTTATCCAGTAGGGTTTGACTATAGAGGTCAGCCAGACATGGCTTTCGAACGCGGGATGGCAGTATTTATTTATCTCAAAAAAAGCAATAGCAAAGGAGAATCAAAAAACTCCATCCATGGGGTCCATACTTCACTAAACTTAAAATAATTTTTGTGGTCTATGACTACAGACTCTACCATACGTACGGTATAATTCACTTCTGCTACCCTTTTTCATATTATGAAGGATTTCCTATATCTGGGGATCAGATCTCTACCTGCCATCAGCAAGAATGTAAATATTCAATTTTTAATGGATTTAATTGATCCCAGAATCATGGAAAGGAGGGCCACCTCTGGGGACTCCAGCCACACCTTGCCCGTAATCGAATAGCTAAGGTGAAATATGGACGACCAAGAGAGTTTTATTACCGGACACGACCACCACATGTGGAGATGTGTACCACTCCAGCATTGATATAACCAGACTGAACTTATTTAATAAGGACGGGCATTGGTACCATCTAGTTAATTTTTTTTTTTGCTGATATTGATAGGCTAGAGTTGATTTAGGTATAAGAGAAAAAGGCCAAGTCCTTACCAGTGTTACCCAATCCTCGCTTCTCGATTACCAGTCCCAGTCCTTACCAGTGTTACCCAATCCTCGCTCCCAGTCTCGATTATAAAACACAAGACAGGAGAAAACCATATGCTTTACCCATATGGAAGAAAAATATATTTGAAATATATTTAAAAAATATTTTTTTCCCAAATATATTGACATATATTTGAAATGCTACAATTTTGGCTGCATTCAATATATTTCAATCAATATATATACAGTAAAGCATCTAAATCCAAAAACACAAATGTAATATATTGCAGCTTACCAGTCCTTGGATGTGGCGGCTGCTTTTGTTTTTCTTTTTTTTTTTCAGGCTAAGAACCGTTTTAGCAAGTACAGAAAATCCCTGAGGATCTTGCTGGAAATGTGGTACTCTTGTCACCTCCTGTGATCTGAACTGAAAGCACAAAAATCATTATCTCTCTTTTTTTTTGTAAACTACTAATCCCATCAACCCACATGTAATAGAGATAAACAAAGGTTGACATATTTGTAGTCCAGCCTCGGTGACAACCATGGCTCTTTCAATAGATACAGTGGAGGTGGGCGTAGCCACCCAGGGAGAATATGTAATTTGCAGGATTAAAGTGGTTGTAAACCTCAGACATGAAATAAGAACAAAGCATATCCCCCTATAGTGTGTGTTTGTCTCAGTCCAGAGCACTGAGTGTCATTTCTGTCTGCTTCCTCCTTCCTCTACTACCTGACAAGTTTTCCTGACACCAAGGGAAAAATGGTGACAGGGGAGGGACCTCCAGTAGATTGATAGCTTTAGCTCTGTTCCTGTGAGCTGTGTGAAGGAACAGGGGTGGGGGACGTCTCTTCCCTCCAGGGGCAGACTGACAACTCATGGGGCCCCTGGGCAATAGGGGATAATGGGGCCCCTGTGCCCTTGCCCACACTCAAAAAAGCCTATGAAAAAGGTACCAGGGGCATCTCATGGGGCCGCCTACTGACCCCGGGCCCTCGGGCATTGCCAGAGTTTCCAAATGGTCAGTCCACCCCTGCTTCCCTCCAGTCAGCTCTCAGCTCTCCTCACTGAGCTCTGCAATGTGTAACTTCAGCTCTCCGCGTCCTGTCTTCTGACAGCTCAGACAAGCTTTATAAATTCAGCACATTGAATAGATGTAGAGAAGAGAAAATTGTAGATAAACAGGTACAACTTAAGTGGGAGAATTTGTGTCATCTCTGTGTATCACCTGTCGCTTCACCGGGTATATGGAAGGGTTTACAACCACTTTCAATGAAAAAGTGGAAAATAAAACAAAAAAGCACTGGTAAGCTATAATATATGATATACATGAAGAATTGGCACTTGAGAGTAAGAGCTCTTAATTCAATGAGGCAGTTTATGTGTGTTTCCTACAGCTGGTCCCAGTAACAGAAGTACACCACGATATTCCAGTCATCCTTATTCCCGGGATTCTTCACTGGAAGATCAGAAGAACCTACAGGATTATCAAGTAGGTTTTTTTTTATTCTATATATTACAGTCAGGTCCATAAATATTGGGACATCGACACAATTCTACCCATTTTTGGCTCTATACACCACCACAATGGATTTGAAATGAAACGAACAAGATGTGCTTTAACGGCAGACTGTCAGCTTAAATTTGAGGGTATTTACATCCAAATCAGGTGAACGGTGTAGGAATTACAATAGTTTGCATATGTGCCTCCCACTTGTTAAAGGACCAAAGGTAATGGGACAGAATAATAATCATAAATCAAACTTTCACTTTTTAATACTTGGTTGCAAATCCTTTGCAGTCAATTACAGCCTGAAGTCCGGAACGCATAGACATCACCAGACGCTGGGTTTCATCCCTGGTGATGCTCTGCCAGGCCTCTACTGCAACTGTCTTCAGTTCCTGCTTGTTCTTGGGGCATTTTCCCTTCAGTTTTGTCTTCAGCAAGTGAAATGCATGCTCAATCAGATTCAGGTCAGGTGATTGACTTGGCCATTGCATAACATTCCACTTCTTTCCCTTAAAAAACTCTTTGGTTGCTTTTGCAGTATGCTTTGGGTCATTGTCCATCTGCACTGTGAAGTGGCGCCCAATGAGTTCTGAAGCATTCGGCTGAACATGAGCAGATAATATTGCCAGAAACACTTCACAATTCATCCTGATGCTTTTGTCAGCAGTCACATCATCAATAAATGCAAGAGAACCAGTTCCATTGGCAGCCATACATGCCCACGCCATGACACTACCACCACCATGCTTCGTTGATGAGGTGGTATGCTTAGGATCATGAGCAGTTCCTTTCCTTCTCCATACTCTTCTCTTCCCATCACTCTGGTACAAGTTGATCTTGGTCTCATCTGTCCATAGGATGTTGTTCCAGAACTGTGAAGGCTTTTTTAGATGTCGTTTGGCAAACTCTAATCTGGCCTTCCTGTTTTTGAGGCTCACCAATGGTTTCCATCTTGTGGTGAACCCTCTGTATTCACTCTGGTGAAGTCTTCTCTTGATTGTTGACTTTGACACACATACACCTACCTCCTGGAGAGTGTTCTTGATCCGGCCAACTGTTGTGAAGGGTGTTTCCTTCACCAGAGAAAGAATTCTTCGGTCATCCACCACAGTTGTTTTCCGTGGTCTTCCGGGTCTTTTGGTGTTGCTGAGCTCACCGGTGCATTCCTTCTTTTTAAGAATGTTCCAAACAGTTGTTTTGGCCACACCTAATGTTTTTGCTATCTCTCTGATGGGTTTGTTTTGTTTTTTCAGCCTAATGATGGCTTGCTTCCCTGATAGTGACAGCTCTTTGGATCTCATCTTGAGAGTTGACAGCAACAGATTCCAAATGCAAATAGCACACTTGAAATGAACTCTGGACCTTTTATCTGCTCATTGTAATTGGGATAATGAGGGAATAACACACACCTGGCCATGGAACAGCTGAGAAGCCAATTGTCCCATTACTTTTGGTCCCTTAACAAGTGGGAGGCACATATGGAAACTTGTAATTCCTACACCGTTCACCTGATTTGGATGTAAATTAAAGCTGACAGTCTGCAGTTAAAGCACATCTTGTTCGTTTCATTTCAAATCCATTGTGGTGGTGTGTAGAGCCAAAAATGTTAGAATTGTGTCGATGTCTCAATATTTATGGACCTGACTGTATATACACTGCTCAAAACACTGAAAGGAACACTTTCAAAACCCATCAGATCTCAATGGGGACAAATCTCCTGCTGGATCTCTATACTGATATGGACGGGGTAATGTGTTAGGAACGTAAGGATTCCCCATCGTTTGATGGAAATGAAAATGATCGACCTACAGAGGACTGAATGCAAAGACACCTCGAAAATCAAAGTGAAGAAATGATGCAGCAGGCGAGTCCATTCTGCTGAAATGTCATTGCAGCAACTCAGAATGGTCCTCAGTAGTTTGTATGGCCCCCACGTGCTTGTATGCATGCCCACAGCCCATCTGTACCATTTGATAAGCTGTGGTCAATCACAGCTAATCACAACAGTACACACTGCATGAATGGAGTAATTCATAACAAAACGTTTGCTTATAACAGTGATTATCACTGTTATAAGCAATCATAGTGTGTAAAAAAAAAAAAAAAATTCTGATCACCTCCCCAGAATAGTACAGTGTTACTATGGTAACACTGCGCTGCCCTGGTCACAGTATGTGTCCATTTACACCCACCTACATTTGATTTGATCCTATCCGCTAAAAGCACACAGATAAGGATCTGTTCCATGTGATTGTTGTGACCAATCACAGCAGATCTCATGGCAATTGTACACAATGAACACAATGGCTTCCATTCATTGTGTGCTATTGTGTTGCTTACTGTGATTGGTCATAGTAATCACATCGTACAGACAGGGCCAATCACAGCCCATCTGTACCATCACAGCTAATCACAACAGTACACACTGGATGGATGGTATCATTCATAACAAACGGTTGCTTATAACAGTGATTATCATTGTTATAAGCAATCATAGTGTGTAAAAAAGAAAATCCAGATCACCTCTCAGAGTAGTAGAGTAGTACAGTGTTACTATGGTAGCCCATAGAGGACAGCGGGCTGTGTCTGTGTCCGCTCTGCATAATCAGAGCAGGCACAGACCAGCCATCCACTTGCTTAGCGGGGGATCAGTGGACAGATTCCCCGCTGAGCAAGCGCACTCATAGCAGAGTCCACCCCGTGTGGAAGGGGCCTAAAATAATAGTTTCCCTGCACACTGAATTCATATAAAGCATTTCTTCTAAAACTTTTGTTGGGCCTTAATCATTATTAAAATATTTTTTTCTCTGTTAATCAGGGTGAAGATTTTTTTAATATTAAGGTTGAAGTGAAAGAGGAAGCAGAAGAGATCTGTGAGAAGAGCAACAGGTCATGTAAGGAGGAGATCCCTCCAGAGATCAGCCCAGGTGAGTAATAAACACTAAATCCAGAGAAGAGTCCCAGATCCTCCTTGTTCAGTCACTACAGCAATCTCTTCTTCTCCTCCCTCCTCTGTCAGTAGACAGTAATGGGGGGAAAGTATGTGCCCAGTTGGGGGATCAGGAGCCATCCGCCTCTATTAGACTGGCTGTTGATGAAATACGTCCAACGCTGGGAATTTTTTTTATCCTAGGCTACAAATGAATTCAAACCTGTATTTGAGGTTCAAATGTTATACATGACATAGGAAGCAGAGAGAGAGGAAATTTAACAGCACAAGCCACAAGAAGTGCATGTCAAAGTAAAATAGATGAGTGTAGACAGTTTCAGTGGTTGCAGGATAGCATATGTAACTTACTTTTTTTTTTATACAAATTCGAAATTCTTAGAATTTAGGTGATACCCTTTACTGGCTGATTTAAAGGAGAAGAATGGAGTTGTTAAAAAAAAAACACAGACATACTCATCTCTGATGCTGAGGCTGTCCCCTACTGGCTCTAAGCCTGAGAACTAAGAGATCACATGACCGCTGATCGCTCAGTTCTCAGTCAGCCATGGGCAGAAAGCGGTAACTGCACAGGGGGTGGTAGTGGCTCCGGCTCTACGATACAAACTGAGAGCTACCAATTAGACATCTGCGTGCGTCCCGACAATATGGTCAAGATCCTTACAGAGCCTGGAGTGACTTTAGCCCACTGTCAGCTGATTCTGGGTCACAGAAGGGCAGAAGTACGTACACTCCTGTGACCCACAAGAGAAGTATGGCCAAAAAAGCGTTGGCCTTCTTACTCTTTTAAGTTGTAAAAGTGACAAGGTTTTAGGACTCACTGGGTTCCTTCCTCGGACCTTTTAATGTTATCTCACATTTTACAACTCATTTATTACTGTCACAAGTGGACAAACCCTCCTCCTTTGTTAGCATGGGCTCATTTTAAGGGGTCTTTTAGTCTTCCAAAGTGTCCATGACTTGCAGATAACCGTGTCATCTGGTCAGTCCCAAGGAGCGAACTTCACCCCCATTGCTGTCACTGATATAGAGGGCCCTTATAGTTCTCTGAATAGTTCAGAACCCAGTCAACAGCTCATCTGATCATTCCTAAGGGGTTAACATTGCTCCTGTTACTGCCACAGATTTAGAGAGCTTTAAAGTTTTTTTTTTTTAGGTTCCAGGAACAGGTAAGTGGACCTGGTGGTCTGATCATACCTAAGGAGTGAATGTCGCTCCCATTGCTGCCACAGATTTAAAGAGCCTTAGAGAAGGTCCTAGGAACAGGTAAGTTGACCAGGTCATCCAATCAGTTCTAAGGGGTTAGCATCACCCCCATTGCTGCTACTTATATAGAGGGCCCTTATAGGCTTCTGAATGGTTCAGAACCCAGTCAACAGCTCATGTGATCATTCCTAAGGGGTAACATCGCTCCTATTCCTGCCACAGATTTAGAGAGCTTTAAAAATTTTTCTAAGGTTCCAGGAACAGGTAAGTGGACCTGGTGGTCTGATCATTTGTAAGGAGTGAACGTCACTCCCATTTCTGCCACAGATTTAGAGAGCCTTAGAGAAGGTACTAGGAACGGGTAAGTTGACCAGGTCATCCAATCAGTTTTAAGGGGTTAGCTTCCCTCCCTATTGCTGCCACTGATATAGAGGGCCCTTATATTTCTCTGAATGGTTCAGAACCCAGTCAACAGTTCATCTGATCATTCCTAAGGGGTTAACATCGCTCCCATTGCTGCCACAGATTTAAAGAGCCTTAAATTTTTTTAAGGTTCCAAGAACAGGTAAGTGGACCAAGTCGTCTGATCATTCGTAAGCAGTGAACGTCACTCTCATTGCTGCCACAGATTTGAAGAGCCTTATAGAAGGTCCTAAGAACGGGTAAGTTGGCCAGGTCATACAATCAGTTCTAAGGGGTTAGCTTCCCTCCCTATTGCTGCCACTGATATAGAGGGCTCTTATATTTCTCTGAATGCTTCAGAACCCAGTCAACAGCTCATCTGATCATTCCTAAGGGGTTACATTGCTGCTATTACTGCCACAGATTTAAAGAGCTTTAAAATTTTTTCTAAGGTTCCAGGAACAGGTAAGTGGACCTGGTGGTCTGATCTCGTAAGGAGTGAACATCACTCCCATTTCTGCCACAGATTTAGAGAGCCTTGGAGAAGGTCCTAGGAACAGGTACATTGACCAGGTCATCCAATCAGTTCTAAGGGGTTAACTTCCCTCCCTATTGCTGCCACTGATATGGAGGGCCCTTATATTTCTCTGAATGCTTCAGAACCCAGTCAACAGTTCACCTGATCATTCCTAAGGGGTCAACATCACTCCCATTGCTGCCACAGATTTAAAGAGCCTTACATTTTTTTTAAGGTTCCAAGAACAGGTAAGTGGACCAAGTCGTCTGATCATTTGTAAAGAGCGAACATCACTCCCATTGCTGCCACAGATTTGAAGAACCTTAGAGAAGGTCCTAGGAACAGGTAAGTTGACCAGGTCATCCTATCAGTACTAAACCCCTTAGAACATCACCCCCATTGCTGCCACTAGAATTTTAATAAAATAGTTTAAATTATTTGTATTGGCATGTCCCAAATTTACTAAGGGCTGTAGCAAAAAGCAGTACTTCTTATTTCCTTTAGATGGACATTACTTGAGGAATAACTGGGAGAAACGACCCATTATCTCTCCAGAGGGTGAATTGGAAGATGACGGAGCATTTGATTCTTCAGAAGATAACCCTAACACCCCGAATGTCCATCCAGTTTTCCAGAACGCCGATCTGTCTTCTGATCCCTCTACATCTGGGAGAAGTTTTCCAGATCATTCCCCTCCTGCCACCCACCATACCCTTCACAGGGGCTTGTTTAAGAGGAGAGCAGCACAAATGGGGAAAAGCAGCACTCGAGCGGGAACAAGCGGCCGGAAACGAGCTCTAGCTTCTGCCGCACTTAGCAGTGAGGATGATGACGATGAGGCTGGTCCACCGAAAAAGTTGGGAGGCGGCTTGAGGAACATCAGATTTTCCCATGAGGAGAATTGTGTCCTGGTCCACACAGTGATCGAGAACTGGACAAGTCTGTATGGGGCTCTGTCTCAGAAAATATCATTTGCTCAAAAAAAGTACCTGTGGCAGGTTGTGGTTTCGGCTGTTAATGCAGTCAGCCATTACGGTAGGACGGTGCACCATTGCAAGAAACGCCTCTCCGATATCAAAAGGTAGGTTCCAGGGGCGGACTGACAACTCATGGGGCCCCTGGGCAATAGGGGATCATGGGGCCCCTGTGTCCTTGCCCAAACGCAAAAAAGCCTATGAAAAAGGTACCAGGGGCATCTCATGGGGCCCCCTACTGACCCCGGGCCCTCGGGCAGTGCTTGAGTTTCCAAATGGTCAGTCCACCCCTGGTAGGTTCTAATTTCAAGCAACCTATACTTCTTGTTAGCACTGTCTATGTTCTACATTGAAAAGATTTACCCACACTTCCTGTCTTGTTACCAGGGCAGAAAGTGAGGGAATATCTCCCAAATCGGGGACACAGACATCAAAAAGATCCACCAGGAGTTCTACCTCTTCTCCATTCTATTCAAAGCTGAACAAAAATTTTGCCCCCGCTTTTCACTTTATTATCGTGATTTATAATTCCAGGTACCTCAGGACTAAACTCGCCGCTCATAAAAAATACCCTCGTGGCACTGGAGGCGGTACCCCAATGGATCTTAAACTAACAGAATACGAGGAAGAGTTGCTTTTGGTCGTTGGCGAGGAGGTCATGACGGGGCTGGAGGGTGCCCACTTAAGCACGGACAGAGTCGGTAAGTTCCAAAGGGAGCATCACAGATGACACCAGGACTGCCATATGGAGGGCCTAAGCTGCCTCCGCCATTGCAAGTTGATGTTGCCAGTATGGGATTAAGGTGTTGAGCTCTGTACAAGTAACATACCAGAAGTCCCTGGTACTGCTTCAAAGGATGCTGAGAGTTGTTGTCCTGACTCACTGTGGAACCTAAGGGGTTAATTCTCTGCATTGTGTAAAAAGGCTGTTTGATCCTGTCTTCTCTGATCCTCCCCTTCTTCTACTGTCCCCCATCCATCTGTTGATAGTACAGAGCTCTAAGAGTCACTCTACACATGCTCAGTTTAGAGTGCATGGCTAGAGAGGTTTTTTTTTTTTCTTTGGGAGGGTGCATGTGATCGACCCAGGGCCAATCAGCACTGTCCAGACAGAAGGTCAGGGGTTATACAGCTTCATAGGACAGTCAGAGGAGAATGAAAACTCCTCCTACAAGCTTTAACCAGTGCTCAGCTGGACACTGATAGAAGTCACAAGACTGCTATATACTGCTCATGAGAAAAGGTATGTATCCGTTTATATTTACTAAAATAATTGTATTTCCATGTTCTTTGTCCTAACTGAAACTGATACTAATTAAAGAAAAAAAATCCTGCCCATAATATACTGACCCTGACCTTGACCTTTGACCCTTACATTAACCCTGGCACTGACCTAGATCACATCTTCATCTGGGTATTTTTTTCTTTATTTTTTCTTTTCTTTTTTTTTTTTTTTATTTATTTATTTTACACACAGTTGTTTTTTTTTTCCTCTCTGTGAAAGGAGAGAGAGAGATACAATGTATCTCTCTCCGCCATTCAGAGAGAGAAAACACGGGGACGGGCTTCACATTGACTAATCACTGTGATAGCCAATCAGAGGCTATCACAGCGATCAGGTGATGCAGAATCAGGAGTTCTGGGTCCTGATCGTTCGTATAGGACCCAGGGCTCACAGTGAGACACCGGTGTCTGTGCTGGGAGATACACAAATATATGGCCCCACAGCATAAAGCCTAGAGGTTGACATCAAGGGGTTGAAAATAATTTGTCTTATTTTCTTTCTTTTGATCTGGTGTTCTGTAGTCCTGACACACTTCCTGTCCTAGGGTGACAACGGCTCCCTTCCATAGACACAGTACAGTCAGTGTTGTCACCCTAAGACAGGAAGTGGTGTTACTAGCAGGACTACCAGATGAAAATAAAGGGTAAAAAGGCTAATGCAGCCACCACATCAAATTTTTGGTAAGCTGCAATATTTTAGATTTTTGTTCTTGGGTTTAGATACGCTTTAAAGTGTTACTAAACCCCAGACTCTGCATTCACTATATCCACTTTCCCCGGACCCTGCATTCACTATATGCGCTCTCCGGACCCTGCATTCACTATATCCGCTCTCCCCGGACCATGCATTCACTATATCTGCTCTCCCCGGACCCTGCATTCACTATATCCGCTCTCCCCGGACCCTGCATTCACTATATATCTGGTCTCCCCGGACCCTGCATTCACTATATCTGGTCTCTGTGGAACCTGCATTCACTATATCCACTCTCCCCGGACCCTGCAGTCACTATATCTGGTCTCCCCGGACCCCGCATTCACTATATCTGGTCTCCTTGGAACCTGCATTCACTATATCCACTCTCCCCGGACCCTGCATTCTCTATATCCGCTCTCTCCGGACCCTGCATTCACTATATCCGCTCTCCCCGGACCCCGCATTCACTATATCCGCTCTCCCCGGACCCTGCATTCACTATATCCGCTCTCCCCGGACCCTGCATTCACTATATCTGGTCTCCCCGGACCCTGCATTCTCTATATCCGCTCTCTCCGGACCCTGCATCCACTATACCCGCTCTCCCCGGACCCTGCATTCACTATATCTGGTTTCCCACAGTACACAGAACATAGAAATGTAATTATTGTAGTAAATATAATCTGTTAAATACCTTTTCTCATATATATATATATATATATATATATATATATCAGTCTTGTGACTTCAGCAGAACACTAATAAATCTTGTAGGAGGAGTTTTCTTTCTGCTCTAGGAGAATGCAGAACACCTGACCCTCTGTCTGGACAGTGCTGATTGGCTCTGTGCTGATCATATGCACTCTCCCAAAAAGATAAAAAAAAACTCTCTAGCCATGCACACCAAACCGAGCATGTGCATGTGGCTACAGGTTCAGTCTGTCTTATCAGGTGAAAATTTGAACAAGAGGAGGGGCAGAGAAGACAGGATCAAACAGCTTTTTTACACAATGCAGAGGATTACCTCTTAGGTTCCACAGTGAGTATAACAAGCATGCTTTTCTACATACACAGACTGATTGTACTGTTGGGGGTTTAGGGACACTTTAATATAAATACACCATTTTGTGACTAATATCTGATGTATTGTTGAAGCAGTGTATTTCAAGCCAAGGGTACTCCTGTCAGGTGTTTCTGGCTATCTGGGGCTCCTTTATAGAGATTTATCCCCATTTGCTGTCCTGATGACAACTGTTTCACCATACAGTGAAGGGCACACAAAAATAAAAATCTGACAGGGGTTCCAGCCATCATCTACTCCAGGGGTCTCCAAATCTTCTAAACAAAAGGTTGGTTAACTGTCCTTCAAACTTTTAGTGGTGTCAGTGGGAGTAAACCTCTTTGCTGGGGAAGGAATAGTGCCCCATCATTGGTGTCAGTGGGAGGAATAGTGCCCCATCATTGGTGTCAGTGGGAGGAATAGTGCCCCATCATTGGTATCAGTGGGAGGAATAGTGTCCCATCATTGGTATCAGTGGGAGGAATAGTGCCCCATCATTGTTGTCAGTGGGAGGAATAGTGCCCCATCATTGGTATCAGTGGGAGGAATGGTGCCCCATCATTGGTGTCAGTGGGAGGAATAGTGACCCATCATTGGTATCAGTGGGAGGAATAGTGTCCCTTCATTGGTGGGAGGAATCAGTGGGAGGAATAGTGCCCCATCATTGGTATCAGTGGGAGGAATAGTGCCCATCATTGGTTTCAGTGGGAGGAATAGTGTCCAGTGGGAGGAATAGTGCCCCATCATTGGTTGTCAGTGGGAGGAATAGTGCCCCATCATTGGTATCAGTGGGAGGAATGTGTGCCCCATCATTGGTGTCAGTGGGAGGAATAGTGCCCCATCATTGGTATCAGTGGGAGGAATAGTGTCCCATCATTGGTATCAGTGGGGAATAGGCCCCAATTGTTGTCAGTGGGAGGAATAGTGCCCCATCATTGGTATGTAGTGGGAGGAATAGTGCCCCATCATTGGTATCAGTGGGAGAATAGGATTGGTATCAGTGGGAGGAATAGTGCCCCATCATTGGTATTAGTGGGAGGAATAGTGCCCATCATTGGTATCAGTGGGAGGGGAAATAGTGCCCCATCCCATCATTTGGTATCAGTGGGAGGAATAGTGTCCCATCATTGGTATCAGTGGGAGGAATAGTGTCCCATCATTGGTATCAGTGGGAGGAATAGTGTCCCATCATTGGTATCAGTCGGAGGTATAGTGCCCCATCATTGGTGTCAGTGGGAGGAATAGTGCCCCATTATTGGTATCAGTGGGAGGAATAGTGCCCCATCATTGGTGTCAGTGGGAGGAACAGTGCCCCATTATTGGTATCGGTGGGGGAGGAATAGTCCCTGATCATTGGTGTCAGTGGGAGGAATTGTGCCCCATCCTTGGTGTCAGTGGGAGGAATAGTACCTCATCAACGGTGTCAGTGGAAGGAATAGTGCTCCATTGTTGGTGTCAGTGGGAGGAATATTACATCATCTTTGGTATTAGGGGGAGGAATAATGCCCCATCATTGGTGTCAGTGGGAGGAATAGTGCCCCATCATTGGTGTCGGTGGGAGGAATAGTGCCTCATTGTTGGTGTCAGTGGGAGGAATAGTGCCCCATCATTGGTGTCGGTGGGAGGAATAGTGCCCCATTGTTGGTGTCAGTGAGAGGAATAGAACCCCATCATCGGTGTCAGCGGGAGGAATAGTGCCCCATCATTGGTATCAGTGGGAGGAATAGTGCCCCATCATTGGTATCAGTGGAAGGAATAGTGCTCCATCATTGGTATCAGTGGGAGGAATAGTGCCCCATCATTGGTATCAGTGGGAGGAATAGTGCCCCATCGTTGGTGTCATTGAGAGGAATAGAGAGGAATAGAAACCCATCACTGGTGTCAGTGGTAGGAATAGAACCCCATCATTGGTGTCAGAGGGAGGAATAGAACCCCATCATTGGTGTCAGAGGGAGGAATAGAACCCCATAATTGGTGTCAGTGGGAGGAATAGTACATCATCTTTGGTATTAGGGGGAGGAATAATGCCCCATCAGTGGTGTCAGTGGGAGGAATGGTCTCCCATTGTTGGTGTCAGTGTCAGGAACTATGCCCCACTGTTGTTGACAGTGAAGGGAATAAAGGGCTGGATAAAAGCAAGTAAAGGTCAGTACTCTACTCCATGAAAAAGCATTTTTATTTCTATCTGTGTTACTGTTACTGACTTCCTGTCCAAAAAATTGCTTTCAGCAAGACAGGAAGTGAGATAAATCTCTGTAACGGAGTCCCCGGTAGCAGTGAGAAGGGTGTCACTTCCCCCACACTCTATCCAAAGCTTGGTAAAATTGTTTTGACTGGACATGTTGGTTTTCCTGTTTTCGGCAGAGGAGTCGGAATACATTGGGTCACCCGAACAGCTCTCTCCGGCCCCCAGTCTCCCAGAGGAAGAGGAGCCCAGGAAGGAGGACCTGTCAGAGACTCCAGCTCTGTATCCGGATGGTGCGTATTGGTCAATGTTTTTAAACTTCAGTCTTCAAACTCCAGATTTTCTCATCGAAGACAATTTCCTTCCCCTGTACGCCACCCGATATACAACACAAGGATTTTGGTATTATACTTTGCCTAAAGTCCACCCGGGCTACGTACAAAATTAGAGTCCGTTCACACTTGTGCGACTTTGGGGGTCCAAAGCCGCATGACAAGTCGCACCCCATGTTTCCCAATGAGTACCATTCAAATCTGCTCGACTTCAAGTCAACGCGAATTGAAAGTATTTCCTGGTACGACTTTTGATGCAACTCTAGTCCAGTGAATGTAAAGTCGGATTGAAGTCGCACCAAAAGTCGCATCAAAGTCGTACTAGAAAACACGCGACTTTGGAGACGCGCTAATGCGAATGGAGCCCTAGATAAAATTCGAATGAAAATGGTTTTTGAATAAGTAACTGAGTTATCAACATGTGAATATTGTTTCATTTTAATTACAGAGGAAAATACAAGGGAGACGCACCAGGTGAAAGGAGGTCAGATGCCGCCGACGCAAAAAAACAAAACCGTAAGCTGATGGCGAAAAAAAATCAATATATTTATAGGCTTAGTTTGTCTTTATTCAGTATAGTTGCAGCACAGTGGCTAAATGGTTAGCACTTCCGCCTGGCAGTACTAGGGGTCGTTGGTTTGAATCCCAACCATGGCACCACCTGCCTGGAGTCTGCATGTTCTGCCTGTGCCTGCGTGGGTTACCTCCTGGTACTCCAGTTTCCTCCCACACTCCAAAGACATGCTGGTGGGTTAATTGGCTCCTGTCTAAATTGGCCCTAGTATATGTATGTATGAATGTCAGTTAGGGACCTTAGATTGTACGCTCCTCGGGGGCGGGGACTGATGTGAATGTACAATATATATGTAAAGCGCTGTGTAAATTGATGGCGCTATATAAGTACCTGAAATAAATAAAAATAAATAAAATACAAGCTTCAAAGAAATTCACGTTTAAGATATCACTCTTAAACAACAGGTTTCCTCCCGGCATAGCATCTCAAGGGCAGGGGCGGACTGATAACTCATGGGGCCCCCGGGCAATAGGGGATCATGGGGCCCCTGTGTCCTTGCCCAAACTCCAAAAAGCCTATGAAAAAGGTACCAGGGGCATCTCATGGGGGGGCCCCCTACTGACCCCAGGCCCTCGGGCAGTGCCCAAGTTTCCAAATGGTCAGTCCGCCCCTGCTCAAGGGTATTAATGAAAGTAAGTGAAGACAACAAGGACTCTCATAGTGTAGTAGATAAAAGAACCTCACAATCTATTATGATTAAAAATACTCACAAACGTGAATAGGAGTGAAGCAATAATCATACAATCTCCACAGTGTATATCTTCCTCCGCTCGTGCCTCCACTTCCGGGTCTCGATCAGCATAACAACGGCATATCCCATGGCCCCGCCCGACGCGTTTCGTCAGTGCTGACATCATCAAGGGGAGTGGCCCTGCCTGGGCACTTTTGCTATGCCCATGCAGGGCTAAGCAACAGGTTCTCTTTAATGCTGCACCTTCTCAGCAACATATATGCATCTTCCCTTTGCTTCCTGGCTGCTCCGCTCAGCCATTGGTATTGATAACAGAAGAAACTCTCTGCGCTCAACCCAGTTAATCCATATAGACAGCGAAGGTGTTCAGTGTTTGGACTCCTGTCCACCATAGCAGTAACTGTGCAAATGAAAGCCAGCACTTGATCACGGGATGGCTTGAGGATCTCTGTTGATCACAGCATAAAAATTCCATGTATTGCCTCAGCACTTACGCATTTCAGCCCAACGGGGGTCAGATCATTGCTCTAGTTTCAGCTTACACAAAGCAGAAGCCTCACTCCCAGTCCCGGAGGGACAACACTCAGCCACTCACTGAGCATCAGCTCTGTCACACGGGAGGAAGGTACAAAACAAAGAAAACTCACGGCGCTCAACCCAGTTAATCCATATAGACAGCAAAGGTGTTTGGCGCAACAGTTTGGGCTTCTATTTGTCATATCAGTAACTGTGCAAATGAAAGCTGACCTTTGATTCCCAGATAGCTTGAAAATCTTTATTAATCACAGGATACAAAATTCCATGCATTGCCTCAATACTTACGCGTTTCAGTTTATCGGGGCCTTAATCATGGCTATGATTAACGTGTTACTAAACCCACAACAGTGCAATCACTCTGTATACGCAGTAAAGCATGCTCAATGTGAAACCTAAGGCGTTAATCCTCTGCATTGTGTAAAAAGGCCACTTGATCCTGTCTTCTCTGCTCCTCCTCTTGTTCAAATTCCCACCTGATAAGACAGACTGAACCTGTAGCCACGTGCACATGCTCAGTTTAGTGTGTATTGCTACAGAGGGTTTTTTTTTCTTGGGAGAGTGCACAGGGCCAATCAGCACTGTCCAGACACAGGTCAGGGGTTCTGCATCCTCCTAGAGCAGAATGAAAACTCCTCCTACAAGTTTTAACCAGTGCTCTGCTGATGTCACAAGACTGCTCTAACTTCTGATGAGAAAAGCTATTTAGCAGTTTGTATTTGCTAAAATAATTGCATTTCCATGTTCTGTGTACTGTGGGCAAAAAATGGCCTGGCCAGGAAGGGGAGGTAAATCCTCTGGAGGGCAAGGGGTTAAGAACGATCAGTTCTCTGCAAAGAGAATTGGGAGCTGGAGCGTCATGGAATCTCAGGAGTGAAGAATGAAGTCATGTAAGATCTCACCGTCATATAATGTGTTTTCTTCAAAGAAAATAGCTAATTGTTCCGCATAGATATACAGAAGGGAAAAAGGGGACTAATTAGTTCCACTTTGCAGTGAAGGAGTCAAATTTCCCTTTACTTTTCATGGATTTATTATCAGAAAAATTTAACACTGAGTAGCGGAAGTTCATTAAAAAAATTATATCTATTTATATTTGTATTTCTTCAATACAGATGGATCTAGAGAAGATAAGTTGACAATCACTATGCTTCCCATGGACAGCGCACCATGCACCGATACCCAGCTACCATCCACCAATCACAGAGAATCTGAGAACACCGCTGCTTCTCTTCAGCTTCCATCTACCAATCAGACGACAACTACTGGCACTTATGAGGACAGTATCATTTCTACTTTATCTAATGTGGTCTCTAAAGTTGAGCGCCTGAACGCACAGAGCAGAAAAGAAATAAACAGGAGCCACAGACTGTTGTTGAATAACATCCATACAGATCTTTTGCTCTTGAAAGAAGAACTTAAAGTGCACAGGGAGCAACAGACGGCACAGTCAGAGAAGAGGTTAAAATTGCTCGAGGAAAGCAACACTCTGAAAAAGATAAAATTGCAACTTATGCGGGAAAAAAAATCGATCTCATGCGAGGACAGGTTCCTTCTACTTCCAGCACAGCATTGGAAACTCCTGCTCCTTCCCCTGTCAAGGAGTCCACACCACCATCGCTGCCAACAAAAATGTCCAAAAACTTACCTGGGTCCAACCCTTCTCCTGAAGGAACCTTGTCTACTTGAGAGATGCAGTTCTGACGTAATAAAGTCAACCCACCATTAAAGGAGCACTTTCTACCAGAGGGATGTAGCACTGATCCGAGTCCAACCCATCTTTTGAAGGAATGCTGTCTATTAGACAGATGCAGCTCTGACTTACCAGAGTCCTATCCATCTTAAGAGGCAATGCTCTTTACCCAGAGAGATGGAGAGAGATGGAGCACTTACTTACCAGAGTCCTATCCATCTTAGGAAGCAATGCTCTTTACTAGAGGGCATGCTTAGCACTGACTTACCTGAGTTATATCCATCTTAGGAAGCAATGCTCTTTACTAGAGGGATGCAGCACTGACTTACCTGAATCTTATCCATCTTAAAGAAGCAATGCTTACTTTTACCAGAGGGATGGAGCACTGACTTACCTGAGTCCTATCCATCTTAAGAAGCAATGCTCTTTACCAGAGGGATGTAGCACTGATCCAAGTCCAACCCATCTTTTGAAGGAATGCTGTCTATTAGTCAGATGCAGCTCTGACTTACCAGAGTACTATCCATCTTAAGAGGCAATGCTCTTTATCAGAGAGATGGAGCACTGACTTACCAGAGTCCTATCCATCTTAGGAAGCAATGATCTTTACCAGAGGGATGCAGCACTGACTTACCTGAGTCTTATCCATCTTAAGAAGCAATGCTTTTTACCAGAGGGATGGAGCACTGAGCTAAAAGAGACCAATCCCTCTCTTGAAGCAGCATTTTCAACCAGAGGAATGTAGCACTCACTTACTGGAGTCTAACCTATCTTTTAAACTAATGCTGTCTACCAGAGGGATGCGGTCCAGGACAGCACAAGAGATTAGGTTCCTTCTAACAGTAACAGGAAACACATCGCCAAAAACACTTTAAAAGCAAGTCCTTGTGCAGAACTGGTCAGCAGTAAATGGACTTAATCCAAAGCAAAACATATATAAGGTCCTGTCATATAATAGTGCCGGACATATATCTCTATAACCTCATATATGAATGAAAGCAGCCAAGCCATGTGATCATGCAACAAAAGTGAATACACTGAATACAACATAAAAGTCCATAATGTGTGCTTGATCCGTACGTTTATAATTTGTTCCCAAACAGGTGCTCTTTATTGCTTATATCCACAAATATTCCTATAGGTGCTTGTCCACCAGAGACATACATATATACTCTCACCTCCTTTTATGACCCAAATTGCATAGGTCAAATCCCCCCTTTTAATTTCCCTTTTAACCCGAGTAGGTATACTGCATAGATGACTCCACTTTCTTCCTCACTCTGCTACAAACGGTCCCGTCTCCTCTTTATCCCACATATCCTCCGAATATGTAAACAGAAACACTTGCCATAGTGTAGTATATAAATATAGCGTGATTTATTAAAAAAACAAAGTGCACTCACATTTAAAAGTGTCCTGCTGGGACACCACAGTAAAAACCCTTATGTATTTTCAATGTGTTCAGGAATTTCCAACATGGAGGCTCGTAAACTTCCTGTTTAGCAGCTTGACGTCATTGGCCTACTCTACACATTACATCACATCACGTGACTTCCTCAGGAAGGGCAGTGGACGATGTGTGGACAGTGTCAGTAGGGCAGTGGACGATGTGTGCACAGTGTCAGTAGGGCAGTGGACGATGTGTGGACAGTGTCAGTAGGGCAGTGAACGATGTGTGGACAGTGTCAGTAGGGCAGGGGATGATGTGTGAACAGTGTCAGTAGGGCAGTGGACGATGTGTGGACAGTGTCAGTAGGGCAGTGGACGATGTGTGGACAGTGCCAGTAGGACAGTGGAGGATGTGTGCACAGTGTCAGTAGGGCAGTGGACGATGTGTGGACAGTGTCAGTAGGGCAGTGGACGATGTGTGGACAGTGTCAGTAGGGCAGTGGACGATGTGTGGACAGTGTCAGTAGGGCAGTGGACGATGTGTGCACAGTGTCAGTAGGGCAGTGGACGATGTGTGGACAGTGTCAGTAGGGCAGTGGACGATGTGTGGACAGTGTCAGTAGGGCAGTGGACGATGTGTGCACAGTGTCAGTAGGGCAGTGGTCGATGTGTGGACAGTGTCAGTAGGGCAGTGGACGATGTGTGTGGACAGTGTCAGTAGGGCAGTGGACGATGTGTGGACAGTGTCAGTAGGGCAGTGGACGATGTGTGGACAGTGTCAGTAGGGCAGTGCACGATGTGTGCACAGTGTCAGTAGGGCAGTGGACGATGTGTGCACAGTGTCAGTAGGGCAGTGGACGATGTGTGCACAGTGTCAGTAGGGCAGTGGACGATGTGTGGACAGTGTCAGTAGGGCAGGGGATGATGTGTGGACAATATCAGTAGGGCAGTGGACGATGTGTGCACAGTGTCAGTAGGGCAGTGGACGATGTGTGGACAGTGTCAGTAGGGCAGTGGACGATGTGTGGACAGTGTCAGTAGGGCAGGGGACGATGTGTGGACAGTGTCAGTAGGGCAGGGGACGATGTGTGGACAATGTCAGTAGGGCAGTGGACGATGTGTGCACAGTGTCAGTAGGGCAGTGGACGATGTGTGGACAGTGTCAGTAGGGCAGTGGACGATGTGTGGACAATATCAGTAGGGCAGTGGATGATGTGTGCACAGTGTCCGTAGGGCAGTGGACGATTAGTAATTATTGGTTAGTTTTGGAAAGGACTGAATTCTCTTTAACCTCTTCCCGATCACGATATAGCCCAAAAGTTGGCTACATCATGGTTGTCCAGTTTTGGGAGGGTGTCTACAGACATCCTCCGAGAACCAGGCCTCTCCCCCCCCCCCCCCCCCCCCCCCCCCGTGTGCCCAGCACGCTTTGTGATTGCCGTGTCCTTCAGGCACAGCTGATCACAGATCGCCATAAAGGGCCAATGACAGCACCCCTTTACCATGTGATTGGCTGTGTCCAGTCACAGCTGATCACATAATAAATGTCCTCTCTTCACGCACTGTCATGACATTTCTGGCAGGGGATATTTACACTGATAATCGTGCCCTGATTATCAGTGCAGCCCTATCAGTGCCCATTCGTGCCGCCTATCAGTACCTCCTCATCAGTGCAGCCTATCAATGCACATCTATGCAGCCTATCAGTGTAGCCTTATCTGTGCACATCAGTGAAGGAGAAAAATTACTTAGTTTCTATTATAAAATTTAGCAAATATGAAAAACCTTTTGTTTTTCAAAAATGTTGGTATTTTTTTCATTTATTTAGCAAAAAATAACCCCCCCCCCCCCCCCCCCCCCCCCCCCCAGGTGATTAAATACCACCAAAAGAAAGCTCTTATCTTTCTCAAAAAAATGATAAAAATTTTGTTTGGCTACAGTGTTGCATAACTGCTTAATTGTCATTCAAAGTGCGCCAGTGCTGAAAGTTGAATATTAGCCTGGACAGGAAGGGGGTGGAAGTGCCCGGTATTGAAGTGGTTAATAAAGCACCTTCTATGGCTTCAGAGCTACCATAAGTTTGCTCAAGTCTTCCCCATGCAGCAGCAAGACCTACTTCTGGGTACGCCACATGTACTGCTCCTAGACATGATCTGCAGACTTTGGCCCTAGCCACTTGTCAAGCAAACCAAGTTCCACCTTAAGTCTGAGATCAGGGTTTGTATCTTTAAAGATTGATCTCCAGCTTCCTCTATCTCTGGGTCTAAAACCTTCATTAATAAGCTCACAATGTATCATAAACCCAGGCTCTCGGCAATCAGCAAACAAGCAAGTTTCACATGGTACCGAATCCCTTGAACTGACCCTACAAACACAACAGCATCTGCCAAGGGTAAATACAGCCAATCATACTAGGAAACCTGAAGGTCACAATGGAAGGGCCCTGTGGTAGACAGACACTTGACCACCAGGCATCCAGGAGGCCTCACCCACTTCGCAACATTAAAACCAGGGATAGCACCTCCTAGAAAAGGACATTACGCTGTCCAAACTCGGTGCCTGGCACCACTGGTCTGGTGGACTCACCCCAACACTTTCTCAAAGTAGCAATATTACTGCCGACCAGTTTTGTACAGGGAATTTATTTTTAAGTGTTTCCTGTTCCTGCTGGGAGGAGCCTATATCTCTAATGTGTTGTCTTGGAAGATGACTTGGGAAAAAAAGTTAACATTTTACTCTATTAAATAGTTTTTTTGAGTTTTACTTGAAGGTTCTTTCAAACCTAAAATAAAAAAAAATATTTTTATAAAGCTCCTTGTGAACATTTTTACATAGACTAACTATTATTAATCGAGTTACCTGTGTTTTTTCCTTTAAATCCCCAAACTTTCTATGTTTTTGGGTAGCATGTAGAGATATTAGAATCTCTGTCTGGTGCTGCTCTGGTAGCCATTGGAGAGATTTTTCCTTACTTCCTGTGTGGTTGCTGGGATGGGAAGTAAGCAAAACTCTTAAACATGGGTAGAGCAATAATACAACTTTTTATCTTTCTTGCCTTTCGAGGGGCACAGGTATTTAGTAACAGGTTATACTGCTGTCTACAGGGGAATTGGATACTGGCAAACCAAAAACTGCAGGTCAGCCCTGGATTACTTCTCCTCTTTCCAGCCTGCCTCAGTTTTTTGCTACTGCAAAGAGGATGTTCATCTTTTCTTCAGCTCTCTTTCTACTGCCAGGTTTGGCCCCCTCTTTATTGAGCATATGGAGCAGATATTTGGAACCTTAGGTTTAAGCTGTGATGGCTTGCTGCAAACAGGGCCAGGACAAGGAGTGGGCAGGATGGACAGCTGCCCTGGGCACTGTGGTATCACGTGAGATGGAGTGGCACAGCAAGGAGATTGGGGGGAAGGAGATTTATTTTTGGAGGCGGCAGGGGGTATGAATTGTACTAGGAGCAGAAATTTGGGGAGTGGGGGGAGCTAGGAGTAGTGATTTGGGTTGATTTGTATTGTAAGGCGGGGATGGGGGAACAGGATCTGTGCCAGAAGGGGCAATTTAGGGGGTTTGTGTTAGAAGAGGTGATTTGGTAAAGAGGGGAGAGGATT